TATATGCGTCCTTAGAATACCAGGGATGCCAAAAAAATGTATACCACGTGACTTGTATTCATCTTTTGTTATTGGTATATATTGAACATTGCAGTTTTAATAGTTTTTTCCATTCTTAAAATGTGTATACATTTTTTTGGCACCCTCTGTAGATGGTAGACATAATTTTGTGACAGTCGGTTTAGGTATGGTACAAACTTTTCACTTGTGATGAAATTAATCTTGCCTGGTTGCTTCCTGAGGGGATTCTTTTGGGAGGCTCTGCTTTTAGGCAGATAGAGGATTTCGGGAACTGAAATGCCTTCTACTCAAAAATTTTATGCCACAGTGATATATTCTGTACTCCTAATATGTATCAAGTAGTTGGAATACTCAGTTATAATTACCATGTGAGTCAGTAAAGTCTTATATTTAATTATGTTCCTTTATATTCAGCTGAATCTGTTCATATATAAAGACATACTCCAGGGGTTTATACTAGCCTGGAAACTTACACCTAAGTTTCAAGTTAGGTAAAGGCATAGTGAGGAAAATGTGCACCCTTAAATATATCCCTATTTTTAGGCTTGGCATCTTCTATGAGCATAATTCTTATGTCATTACCTTATCTAAAATCTTTTAGTGACTCAATTCCAGGATAAAGTTGAAGTTCCCGTATTACCAAACACCTTTAGCTCCAGTTAAGCCAGACTCCTTGGAGAACGCCTACCCTCCTTCCTGCACTCCAGCTAACCTGGTAATGCTCTCCTGGCCAGTCTTGCCTGACATCATCTCCCAAGTCAAAGAGTTACATGTGTCCCTTCGTTGTGCTGCCAAGGCACACTGTGCACACCTTCAGAACTGTGCTTACCACACTTAAAAGACGTTAATTCTATGGACTTAAGCCTCTTGAGGGCACAGCCTGTTTGTTTTGGTATGCCTTGTGCCTATCATACTACACTCAATATCTGAATAAATGAATGAACCTAATTTTCCTAGTGATAAAAGTATCCTTTAGAAAAATTATGGGCTCAAATGCAATAAAGTTATGGATAAGAACTATTATGCACTTTAGTATTAGAATAAAGGAAACAGACTAGCTTCTGTAGGAGTGTTATCAGGTCCTGGAGAGAAAGCAAGACAGCGAGCAAGACCATGTGGGTTGTATTTACAAGTTCCACAAATGCATCTGATAGTTGGTCCCCTCCCTAGAGGTGGGGGAACTGGACCAGATAATGTCTATCAAGAACGCTTTTTGCTTTAATATCCCGTGGTTCTAAGAGAAAATTTTAAAAATTCACTTAGGATAAACAATACAGTATCTAGATGATAACCTTACATGGGAAAAATACAAGAAACTTCAAATTACAGAATTTGGTAGGCAAGATGTGAGGAGAAATTTGCAAGGATGTGCTTTTGGGAAACGTAGACCAGGTTTTGTTAATAGCAAAGGCAGAGAAGAGAGAAGAACTTGCTCATTTTATTAAGATTCCCTACCACCTGGGTTATCTTCTCCCACTTCCTTTCCCCCCAACCCATTTATTTCTGTATTTACGCAATGCATTCAGCATGTTTCCTGAGTATTTCATGGGCGCTATTTCATTATAGATTATAGTTCCTTCCCACCCTGAAGGAACTATCACCTATAGCAGTAGTTCTCAAAAGTGTGGTCCCCAGACCAACACCACCTGGAAACTTGTTAGAAATGCAAACTTGGGCCCCTCCCCAAACATACTGAATTAGAAACTCCAGGGGTAGGGCCCAACAATCTGTTTTTAACAAGCTTTCCAGATAATTCTGATGCACCCTGAAGTTTGAGAACTGCTCTAGAAACAATGTATGTGCTATGATAGAGGCGTACTAGGTCCTATGGCATACAAGAGATGCAACCAATGTGTTCAGAGGTATGGAGGTGAGAGATGATGACAACTGGTATGTAGTTCTGGCATAAATAGAATAATAAATGTGGGGAGTAGATTAGGCTGGAAGAGGCGTATAAGGAGAGCCAATTTAGGAAGGGGCTTGGATGCTATACAAGTGAATGGAGTATGGGCTTTATCTGAACACATTACTCAGAATTCACTGAAGCATTTTAAGCAAGAGTAACTTAACCAGATTTGTAGTTTCAAAAGATTGTGGTGACTGCAAAGTATGGATAGAGGCTTGTTAGGCAAGGATACCAGTTACATGGTTATTGCATTCATTTTTCCAACAAACAAAACACATGGAGGCTCTAATATGTGCTAGATGCTGATAACAGTGCTATATATTGGGTTGTTGGAAAAGTCATGATGCATT